AGGGCGGCCGGAAGCAATGCAAGCTGTTGTGACCTGGGAACCTGAAAGCTCGATGGCGCGACCGATGTGCGATTCGCCACGGCCTGTGCTGCTCTGGTGGGGTTGGCCAACGCTGCCTCTTGGACGTAGCGGCAGATCGATGCACTCCCCCAGCGACCGATGAGCATGATAACATGTAAATCCAGGTCTGCACGTGCGAACAGTTGGGCGCCAGCGACCCGGAATGCATGTTGGGCCCACCTCTGCACCACTTGTCGGGGCCAGTCTTTGAGGTCTCCTTCACACAAGACCCATGCGAACACCCTTGCCAGCCAAACGACCTGTACCTTAGTCGGGGGGCCTGCTCCGTCTCCGAAGAAAGGTGACTTCGGGGCCCAGCGGCCAGACTTTCGGAGGCGAACCGCGCATCGCAGCGCCGCATGGTACGGACACAGACACAGTGGGTGCCGACCGAGAGAGCATGCGCATTGCTGCAAAGGTGTGAAGAGCAATGCCTCGTCACCTGACCTATTGCATCCTGGGTCGTGGCTCCTGGAGCAAATGCACGCATGTGTGCGCGAACAGCCGCGGGCAGAAGAATCGTTCTTGGATACTGGCAGCTCAAGCTTAACCATACCCTCTCGCGAAAAGGTAACGTCCTCGCAGACAACCGAAGATATCTCGAGTCCTCGGAGAAGGAACCATGCGGCCACGACACCTGTATCCGCTGGAGCTTCCAACCTGTGGCTGTCGGGGACCTGGAGAGAGGAGTACGCTTTCTCAACGTCCTGTTCGAAGCTGCGCGAACACGCTTCAAGAGGGAAATCCAACTTTGCTGCAGATGGCCCCATTCCTCTTGTGATGGAGCGCACTGCCTGTGCGACCGCGTGGTCCAAAGACGGAGGCCATTCGTGACCCTGCGAACGGTGTTCTGACTTGGCCACACTGTAGTACTGGGCCGCCGACCGATAGCGAGCCTGTTTGAAAAGAGCTCCGACCTTGTCGATGAGTTCGACTGTGACTGGAAGCGGTGGGAGGTTTCTCTGTTCTGCGAGAGAACACCATAGCTTCCACCGAGATTCCCGAGGGCCTCTGGAGCTCCGTGCGAACTTGTCTTCTTGAAAAGCCTCATCGGCCTTGGACATGGCGTCCTCGCCTTGTATGGCTGCAACGGCCTGTCGCGAACCCCTCTGGTAAGGATGCACGATCGGTGCATCCGATCGGGACCGATTGCGAACCACGGACCGGTTGAACAGTCTGTCAACGGCCGGGTCTCCGATCCACGCCCGTAGTTGGGATTTTGTTGTGTTTTCCAGCTGCTCTGCGGACCGGACCCCGTGGGATCGGAGAGGCTCGAGAGCACTGTGAAGATCGAGGCTGCCCAGAATATGTACGAGGCTGGCGAACGAGCCACGATCATGACTGCACGGAATGTGGTGCATGGCTAACGAATGTGGGAGCTCGAGGCTGTTACGGCGAAATCGGACCGACAACTTTCAAGGTAACAACCGGCCTGAGTCACAGAATCTGACGACCCCGACTTGCAGACAGTTCCTTCGAGGACCGACGGGGGAGAAGGGGAAGAGGGGCCCCCCTTCGAGCAAACGACCTGTGCGACCGAACGGGGTCGACCGGCATGACCTCGAGACCGGAATGCGACACGACTGCAGCAGCGAACATGACTGTAGTACAAGCGCATCGCACTGCCTGGACCTTGCACGACCTTCCAGAGAAGAAGAAACCTTAACCTTGCACGACCTTCCGGAACAAGACAGCGAACACAAGTAGCTTGCCGTCATGACTGTGCCTCACACCTGGGACCTACCGCACACGGAAGTTGCAAGTACACTGCAGGGGAGCACTAGCGAACTTGTGTGACAAACTGTTTGTAAAGGGCGACCTCATACCTGATACCTGGAACCTACCGTGACCTTGGCTTCACGCAGACTACCGCACTTTTGGCTGCGAACAGCAACAGATCTTCCCCGCAGGGTCGAGAGCCCGAGGGCGAACTGTGAAAGCGTGCTGCAGAAAAGCCCCGCCGAAGGAAACTACGAAAACACTGTTCTGCTCGAGTCACTCTGGGGCGGCGGCAGCACGCGAACACTCACGTTCGGTTCGGGTTGGCTCTTTTCGCCTCTGTGTGGCAAAACTGGCAGAAGTGGTGTTCGTGAACCCTTCTGTAGCCCGGGCGGTTCACTCGGGGGCAAGCGCGCATCCAACAGGACGGGCAGCGAACGTTGCACACACTAGACACATCTGTGAAAGGAGGAGGCTCATCGCGAAAAGTGATGCCTGACTCCACGTCTCTTTGCGGCCATGGCGCGGGCAAGCCGACCGGTGCATACTGAGGCGCCCTCAGCGGACCCGGCGGGCCCCCAGCCAACGCGGTCTGTAAGTCGGGGTAGTCCACGGCGGGGCGACCTCGTTGCGACCGGCGTGTTGCATCACCTGAAGGGAACGAACTCTTAGGAGGGGCTGCGTCCCTGCTCGGTCCTGGGTCTGGCCCTGTCGTCGATCTCGCCGAAGCCGTTCCCCCTGTAGTTGTTGTCGGCGTATCCGCGGCCGGGGCGACCTGGGTGGGGACGGTGGCCTTGGGCGCCTCCGTAGTAGCTGCCGCCTTCCCCGGCTGCGGCTGTTGAGGCATCGGTTTACTCGGCGGCGACCTGGCCGGTGGAGCTGCCGGCGGTGGCAACGGAGGGCTGTCGTCGAGGTCATCGTCCATGGTGTCCAGGTCTATCACTGCGAGCTTGGAGCATGCCGATCGCGTCCTCTCCTGTCTGAGGTGCCAAGGTGCCGGCGAACATGGCAGTGACCTGCAGCGGCGTAGCCTTGACTTGCACCCCCGCTTTCTTGGCCGGCGGAGGCGAAGGAGTCGGTGTAGTTCCGCGACCTTTACCCTTCTTGCTCAGCGGTGTAGGGCTCGTACCTGTCCTCAAAGGGGGCGGATCGGCTTTCACAAAAGCCTTGGCTTCAGCGGACAGCGTCTTGGGAACTGGCAACGACGGCGGGGGGCCTGTAGTCGGATCTTTGGCCGCCGGTGCGCCAGAGCGAACTGTAGTCGCTTGTGGCGCTGGCATTGCGACCGAAGGCCCTTGAGTCGGCTCCTTCGCGACCACACTTCCCGCATTTCCCGAAGAGCTCGCCGCCGTCGAACTATGGGTACCACTGTCTGGCCGCATAGTCTCCGGAGCCACCGCACCTGGGGTAGCGACCGGTGCTGTCGTAGAGTCTGCGTCCAGAACTTGCTGTTCTATCTGGGACTCCACGCAGCGATCGAACGTCTTGCGGAAGCGGATCAAATCCGCCACTTCGACCCGCTGCGTCAGCGGCTCCAGGTCCTCATACGAACTGTAGAGAACAGTGTGCAGCGAGGCCCAAAGGTCTGGCGAACCAGCAGTGTCTGGCACACCCCACGAACCAGACATGGCTCTGCTTTCGAAAAAGCGAAAAAGCGCTAGCTCGTACTGTAGGCTCGGGCCTCGTTCTGCGACCGCGGCACGAACTGTTCTCTACAGTACTCGCTACGCTTGTCACTACGAACACACGTGTTCTGCACTACAAACATACACACACATACACACATACACACATACATACATAGAGACATACATACGTACATATATACATACGTACATGCATTCATGAGGACATACATACACGCATACCTACGCACATACATGCTTCCGTACTTGCAATGCCATCAGGCAGGCAAGTCGGCCGGCAGAATGTCAGAGAGAGAGAGAGAGAGCGAGACAGCGAGAAGAGGAAGAAAGAAAGAAACAGAGGAGCACGTCTACCTCGTCTCCGACGAAAGTTAGCTTCGTCCTAAGCCAGCTGCATGCCCACACAGGCGCACATACATGTGCATGCATCTGTATACTAGAAATAAGCAAACAAATAAATCAACAACTGAACATGTACATAAATATATGTAAACGACATAAAAGATAAAATATGATGACGTGGTAGGATATGATATGGTGAGGTATGGTATGACGTGGTATGATGTGGCATGATGTGATATGATGTGATACGATGTGACATGTTCTGGTATGAAGCGCTATGAGGTTGTTGCACTATTCCTGACCACGTGATAATATCTCAAATCACATCCTGTTACATCATATCATGCTATATCATAGCATGAAACACCGTGGCATATCCTGTCAGAGCATGCCATATAGCATCGCATCATATCATAGCATAACATATCAGGACGTAACGTAGCAGCTTCTGCCACATGTCCATTTGATGGTAACCTGTGATGTAATATAGTACCATATGACATAAGATAGAACATCTTTGTAGAACATCGCAACATATAGTATGCTATACGATACGATAGAATATAGCAGAATAGAACGAAACAGAACAGAAAACAATACAACCCAGTGCAGAACAACATAACAAAATGTGTATCATAATTGATGTCTACATACACAGATATACACATATATATTTTTCTGTGCATATTGACATTGATGCGACGTTGTAGCACAGTAAAAAAATGTATAGCATGCCGGACTATCTGTACTGTACTGTGCTTTACTGTACACTGTGCTACTCCATACTACATTACACCAGGGTGTGATCTGGCATGGTATGATCTCAAAGTATACTGTTACATCTCAAGAAACTGCTTTTCATATTAATGCAATACATTACGTCATTGTGCAGTATAGCGTCTGGCAGCATATATACGTTGGTACGATGTGCTATAGTATAGTATTGTACTTTACCATCCTAAACTCACGTACACAGTATGATGTCAAGTCCTATTCTGTCTATCAAATCAAACTGTACTGCCGAATATTGAAACAAATTGACATTACTCTCCGCATGCATGCATAATAGTCTCGTACAAGTTTCATGTAATATACAAAAACTGTCGAGGCACATTGCTTAAATGCATGAGCCCGCACGCAGGCATGCAGGCATGCCTTCCTTGGTGGTACATGCTTGCGAAATCCAGGTGTGTCTGCTCAATCGGGAAAGTCGTGCAATGCAACTCCGCGTGCCTCGGCTGCCAGCATCCACCTCTACCTGGCAGGCGCAGTACTACTGGAACAAACTGTCGCTGGAACAGCACTGATGCAACTGTGCGGCTAACAGATACGTTGCCGAACCGTGCACGGTTCACAAAACGAAATCCCCATGCAAGCACCCGATGCAGCAGCATCCAGAGGCTCTGTTGCTCAGCAAGGGTTCGTGTAGCCGTACTTGGAGGTTCAGGGGTAGTTATAAGTAGGGTTATAAGTCCCCTAATATGGGTAATAAGCATAGTTATCCTACTTATAACTGTACTTATAACTAACCATGAACCTCCAAGTACCAATCCATGCGTGCTGCAGCCCTGCAACTCTTCGCCTTCGGGGTCACCCACTCAGCTCCGGTGGCTCTGTTCCTCAGTCAGAGGCACCGTTCTTCTCAAGGGTCCTTATAATAAGGGTCTTATTATTATTTATGGTACTATATTAGGATCCCCTATTTAGGGTCCTTATAATAAGGGTCTTGCTATCTTCCAGAATTCGACAAGTCTCAGCAAGGTAATCCACCCATCTGGATCGTAGAGCCTGCCGCGCCTGGGTCCAACAACTTGTTCCGGGCAGCTACAAGCACTGGAACTTCTGCGCAGCGCGTGGTGCTAAGCTGGGAACACCCTCTCCTCTTCGACGAAGTCGACTACCTCCACAATCTCTACTTCCTTGGATCGTTCTTGCTCAAACATCACTCCTGCCGCAAAGTCGGCGTGCATGGCTGTTGCTGCGTCAAGCGTCGTCACCCTCTTCCAGCTCTGCAACAAGCTCGTCGTCGTCAGGCGCAAAGTTGTCGGCATCGTATGCAACGTATGCAGATCGCATAAGAACGTAGAACCCCTTCGGGTAAGGCGGCGGATCCTGCCAACTGCCATCTGCAGAATCTGCTTGTTTCAAGCCCCATGCTCGCCGATTCGAGTGCACCAGGCCGAAATGGCATCCCTTACAACGACCAGAAGCCGTCAGACAGAGTCAGCACTCGTCTCCTACGAAAGCATGGGCTCTGGTGATGAAACTTACCCATAATACGGACTTAATCAGGGCTGTTTAAGGAAGTATAGTCCCCTACCCCCCTACCCCGCTACCCCCCTCCCCCTACCCCCTCTAAGGGTCCCTATGATTTCGGAAAGAGCAGAAGAAGCTCCTGGTCCAAGTCCTGCGCCTGCTGGTCACCTCTGAGCCGCTTAGGGTTGAGAGTTTAGGGGAATACGGGATTACTTGGAGGTTCAGGGGTAGTTGTAAGTAGGGTTAGAAGCCCCCGTAACATGGGTTATAAGTATAGTTATCCTAAATATAACTGTACTTAGAACTAACCATGAACCTCCAAGTATAGTACCCATAGTACAGCTTAGGGGAATATGGAACTATGGTTACTTATCGTACCTATAGTCTCCACTGCAATTCCTTGTTTGGTTAACCAATGTTATGGTGAGGATCCTGTCATGTATCTTTGATTACAAACGGAACTACAATGGAGACTACAGCTAGAGCTTCGATTTCCTGCGTGCTATCAGGCGAGCATGTGGGAGTTTCCGAAAATAGGGGACCCTAATTAGCACCCTAAACAGTAGGATCCTTATTATAAGGACCCCAAAATAAGGTACCCCTAACTTTCGAACTCCCGTATGCTTGAAGCGACAGGAAACTCATTGCAGCCGACAGGCTTGCGCTTTCCTCCTGGCAGCGAGCTGACGGAACACTATAGACTAAAGTGACTAAAAACCCTGCCAAAACCCTAAACTCTAAACCCTATACCCTAAACCCTTACCCTAAACAAATATAAACCCTAAACCAGCAGGGCAGGTCATAGTGGCATCAGAAGATCCTGCCTTCGGAGCGACCCATTTGATCCCGGTTGCAGAGTTCCTCGCTGTCGCCACGGCGTGGGAAGTGGCATGGACGGTTTTTTTGTTTAAGGCCTTTTTGAGGTCACGCTGTAGACATGGATGGTTTAGGGTTCAGGGTTTAGGGTTTAGGGATATAGTAATTCAGGGTTCAGGGTTAGTTTAGGGGATGGCTGCAGGAGCTCTGACAAGGCTTGGCGTCCTCAAGGTGATCCACCCTTCCGGCGACTTCAGTTTTCCACGCCTCGCACTGGCTGCACATGCAAGCCAGTCGAGTCGCACACACGACAACGTGATCTGCTCTGAGACAGCTCTACTCTGTGATCCCAACTCTAGCAGACTCCAGCTACAAGTGAATTCCAGCGCAAGCCGACAACTCCAACAGCTGCGACGTTAGGGGCTGCTCCCACCGTTGGCAAAGCAACGCTGAGGCCGTCACACTCGCCCCAAATTTCGGAAGTCAACGACCTCCACTATTTCGATCTCCTTCGGCCACTTCTATGTGCACTGTCGCGAACGTCTTTGAGTACAAACATAATGTAATACACTACAATATACAGTACTGCATTATAGTATACTATAGTATACTATAAATTACTATGATATGCTGAAATATACCATAGTATTCTATACTATCGTATATAATTGCATATACCAGGCCGCACCCAGCCTCGCCCTCCTCGAGCTCTGCGACGAGCTCGTCGTCATCCGGCTCGAACAGCTCGGCCCTCGGGGACACGAAGGCAGGGCGCCGGAGAACGTAGAGGCCCACGTCGAAGAGCTTGCGCCGTCCCTTAGGCCTCACCACAACTCTTGACAAATATGCTATAGCATATTATCGTATCTCATAGCATACCATAATATACAATGGTAGCTCACAGCTGTCTGTCTCCCTCATCGCCTAAAGAGCTATCCTTTCAGAGGCCCCGTCCCAGGCTCGGCAGGCTCAATGCCGGCTGCTTCCTCAGGCTCCACGTCACCTCTCGGCAGGGCGCCGGACCCGCCGCGTGCAGGCAGCTGGGATTTGCAAAACATATGGAAGTTTCTGGACATAGGGGACCCTAATGTAGTACCCTACATAGTCGGGTCCCTAGCTTTAAGGACCCCAAAGCAAGATACCCCACATTTTCGGAAACTCCGACGTCGCCGACCTTCGCGCTCCGGGTCGGAGTCCCCACTCGCCGGCTCTGACCTTGAGCGATGCGCGACTGCAGTCGGAATTCGGATCGAAGGATCATGAAAGGCCGGCAGGGAGAGCTACACTGGGTTCTTGTTAAGGAAGTTGATGTAAGTTACCATACAAGTAATAGGGATCTACAGTGAATAACGTGGTTTCCCTGTTCTGGTAACTTAATGTAAACCCCTTAACAAGAACCCAGTACAGCTCTACAGCCTTGCAATGATCCGAGGCCGTAGCTCCCCCTCGTCTGCCTCGTGGAAGGAAACCCGTCTGCTGAGCGGCGTTCGATCTTCCCCAGGCTCCGAAGCTTCCCCATCACCTTTGTGGTCTTCATACGGCTGATGATCCAAATCCTGCATTACCCATAACAAGGAAAAACAATAATTCCCAAAGTCCAGGGTCATCAAGGCAATGCAGGACTTATATCATCAACCATACTTCTCCATGTGACTTCGTGAAGTCTCGCACGTGCATCCTGTGACCGACCCTTACTGAGCCGATGCGCCTGTGTATTCAGCATCCTCGGGAAGAACCTGCAATATGCGGTGCTTTGAATGCCGTGGTGGCGCTACTTCTCGTTGAGACCCTAGCAAACATCGAAAAAAACTCGGAACTGTTCGAGCATGTCGAGAACCGGTCAAGGAGCCTTGGCAGCCACCCACTTTGCTCCAGTCGCCTTGCTCCTTGGCATCTGCATAGTCAACCCCAAATGGGTAATTATGGCATATTATGGCATGAATGTATGGAAAGTATGAAACCAGTTTCTTGCAGCCGAGAGTCATCAGCGTAATCCAGCCATCTGGATCCTTTAGCTTGCCGCGCCTCATGTTGCCATGTACGTGTTTGCGTCAGACGTAAGCATTCATGCAAGCCAGTAAAATCACAACTTGTCAAGCTTGTCCCTCGCCAGGTCCACAGGGAAGTGCTGTTCAGATCTTAGCTATCCACACACGCTTCTCCGACTCAAAGTCGATGATCTCTGTCACTTCGATCTCCTCCGGCACATGTGGCTTGCAACACATGGACTCGTTCGGCGTGGGAGTGACTATACCAGCGAGGATGCGAAGGCATGCAAGTCTGCATAAATCGCGTGTCACATGTGACATGTATTGTTTTTGTTCCGGATGGATGGCTGTTTCCCGACTTTGGCGTGATGCAAGCCCGCGGAGCAACCATACCCATGCCCAATCATGCTTGACTGCGATGTACCTGCACGAAGATCTGCACATCCATGCCCCATGTTCGAAAGCTTGAACTCATAGAAAACACTCGTGGTTCGTGGCCGTCATCTTCTGGACCACGGGATTAATCTAGCCTAACCAGGCCTGCTAGAGAAAGCTCGAAAAAACAAGCTAGATAATTCCTTTGGTCATGCGCTGGTGATTTTGGCTGTTGGAAAGAATGAAAGGGTACATCCGGAAACACGGCAGAGCCCACGACTGCAGGGCTTCTTGTCTAAAGTTCAGACTGACCCCGAGACTAAAACCTCACACTGTGAACCCTGAACGCAAAGCGGGCCAGGGCCCACTACTACTACTACTACTACTACTACTACTACTACTACTACTACTACTACTACTACTACTACTACTACTACTACTACTACTACTAGACCCTAAACCCTAAACGTGAGCTCCGGATCTGCCGATCCCCGCCTGACCCTCCTCGAGCTCCGCAATGAGCTCGTCATCCTCGGGCGCGAAGATCTTGGCCTCTGGCGACCTGGCAAAGGAACCAGAAAGCAGTTTTAGGATAGTTTAGAATAGTATAATGATGGTATATTATTGAGGTATATTATTATAGTAAGGTATATTATAGTATAGTCTACTATAGTAAGACATACGTATTACAGTGCATTCTAGTATTGTATGTTGTCGTATAGTATCGCACGTTGAGGGGATCTTTTAACGGCCGATGCCCTTCCGCCGAGGCACACGAAGGCAGGCCGCAGGAGGATGTAGAGACCGGGCAGCATGGTTGGCGAGCCCTGAGTAGGCCTGAGATGCTGAAAGCAGAACAAGACCCTATAATGTACGACACTGTCATACGATGCGCAATACTACGATACATGATAGTATGATGTAGTATACTATAATCTAATCTACGAGACATACTATAAGATGTCTCAGTTGAATCATCACAGCCCTAAACCCTAAACCTCCCAAATCCTACACCTCCTAAAACCTGAAGACTCGTCCAGGTCCCTTACTATACCGAAAGTATGAGTCTAGGTAACTATGGATTCCCCTCCATTATCCTTTCAAACAAGGCAAAGGGGCTCATCCGGCTCTTCGGGCTCAATGGAGGGCTCCTGGGCGATCTCTGCTTCCGGCTCCGAGCCCTCCTCGCCTGCCACTTGAGGCTTTGAGGGCTGAGGGTTTTTATACGGTTTAGGGATTGAGGTTAAGGGTTTAGGGGTTTCTATAGGGTTTAGGGTTTAGGCCTTTCAGGGTTGAGGTTCATGTTTCTCTTGTAGGGTTTGAGGGCTGATGCTTGTAGATACAGTGCTCAATCAAGGACTAGACCACTCAAACGCGGAGTCACTCCCTGTTCTCAAGGTACAGGCAAGCAGATTTGACAGGCCCCTACCGTGGCAGGTGCGCAGCATGTTAGGTCATGGTCTTGGTTCAGTGGATACACTCCTCCTAACGACGTTCCGTTCGGTGCCTTTCGTGGCGTACCTGATATACGTCCTACAGTTGGGTGTGGTTGTTGCCACAGTCTCCCACCGGCAACATTACATGATGACATTCGGAGCAAGACGACAAAGCATCGCAGGTAGCAAGCTTCACCGATCGCTCAAAATCCAACGGAGCAAAGAATAGGCACCATAGACTCTCCGGCAGCTGTTTCACGGGCCACGCACCTCGGGGATCGTTGTCCACCGAATCCTGCAACGGCAAATTTGCAAGTAACTAGCACTGAGCCGAATATCCGTAGCAAGTCACATCTGTCAGTCCTTGCTTGGAGGCAAGTTGGTTGTCGGGGCGACCCATTCGGTGCCTGTGGCTCTATTCCTCGGTTGATGGTGAGAAGTTTATGCACGATGGGCTTCACACGAGGCTGAGACCTCGCCAAACACTGACCAAGTCTCAGGAGGGTAATCCATCCGTCGAAGTCGCGGAGCCTGCCCCGCCTCGGTTCAGGACCGGGGCAACTATGGCGGACATCGGCGGCCCAGCTCCCATGTCCAAGCTGGGAACACTCTCTCCTCCTTGACAAAGTCCACCACTTCCACAACTTCTACTTCCTTGGCTCTTGCCATTGAAACCAACTTCATGCGATGGCTTAAACTTCCAAGGCGCCATGCCCTCCTCCAGCTCTGCAACAAGCTCGTCGTCGTCCGGCGAGAAGTCGTCCGCATGAAGTGCCACAAACGCGGGTCGCAGAAGAACGTAGGATCCCGTTTTAAAGCGCACGGACGAATCCTGCCAGCTTCCAGCGGGCTGTCCCATGCCAAGTTTTCAAAGCTGAAGGTATGCCAGCAGCTCCTCCTGCTGCTGCTCCTCCTCCTCCTCGGAGTGTGACGCCTCCCGGTCGTCTGTGCCTGTGGCTGATGCATTTGAGATGGTGTTTTTTCTTGCATGACTTGACGCTGGACGGGCTGCAGGAACGACGAGGAGGTTTAGATGATCGCATTTGTGGTGCTTTCTTTGGGCTCTGCTTCTATTTGCTGCCTGCTGCATCTGCATCGACACTTGCATCGTCCTGAAGGCGAGACCATGAACTTGCAGCTACTCGCAAACAAGCCGACATTACAAAGAGTGGAAACAGCAGGTAGGTCCTCCTCCCGGGAGTCTTCCTTCATGTCGGAGCCGGGGGGCCTAAGCTGGAAGCTCTCCCACAGCATATTCAACCGCACCCTTGCGCAGTTGCAATGTCACGGCCTGGGGCTGTTGGCAATCCTTCAGACTAGTTGGGCATCTTTGAGCATGGTAGGGTGCGTAGGGCGACACCACATAGGACACCCTCTGGACATGTCGTAAACAGATGGAGTCCCCAAGCGTAGTTCTGGACGCGTCTGGGGTTTCAAGGCATGCTAGGCTCGTGGTGCCGGTTGTTGGGACTAGGTATGTGCCTGTTCAAGCTTTGTGCATTATAGCCACAACGCACATGCTCCCTCCCTTCAACCAGGGACTTCTCAGACTGTGCACATGTGATTCGATGACGTGGGGCCTTAGGTGGGCAAAGTCCCGGCTAATTGCAGCCTGGCAGCGCATCCACGCCATCGTCGACGACTGTGGCTGGCCTGCATGGCCAGGCAAGATCTCCCATTGCTCCGAGGACGTAACACCCCATAGTGCAACTTGACCATACCTCGAATGCTCACTGGCAGCTTCAACGTCAGAGGAAGCATCTCTCTGGGACTCACCTGGACGCGTGAGGACGTGCACCCGGATTGCAGCTGCAACGTGCTTCGGAACTTCAGCTGTAGCTGAACTGATGGCTTTGCAGCCGACATGGCCCCTGCTGGAACGTCTTCGTAAATCGTCAGATCTGACTGGAAAAGATGCCAGTAATTGCCAGTAGAATGTTCTGGCAACGGTCCACACTTGAAAGCATGCGCCTTGGGCGCCGTCATCCACCGACTCCTGCAATCACGAACGCGTGCAACTGGTATGCTTTCAACCTTGAACATGGTGTAACCGCACACGACCACAAGTATCAAGCAATCCCTGTAGCCTAGACAGGCAATGCGTGCGGGCTTCGAGGCACCTGGGTTGCCGGCGCAACCCATTCGGTGCCCGTGGCTCTATTCCTCGGTTGATGGTGAGAAGCTCATGCACGCTGGGCTGAACATGAGGCTGACACCTCGCCAAACACTGACCAAGTCTCAGGAGGGTAATCCATCCGTCGAAGTCGCGGAGCCTGCCCCGCCTCGGTTCAGGACCGGGGCAACCATGGCGGAATCGAAGAGAAGATGCACCATCGGCAGTCCAGCTCCCATGTCCAAGCTGGGAACACTCTCTCCTCCTTGACAAAGTCCACCACTTCCACAACTTCTACTTCCTTGGATCTTGCCATTGATACCAACTTTGAAGATTTCTTACACTGCCAAGGCGCCATGCCCTCCTCCAGCTTCGCAACAAGATCCGCGTCGTCCGGCGAGAAGTCGTCGGCATCAAGTGCCACGAACGTCGGTCGCAGAAGTACGTAGGATCCCGTTTTGAAGTGCACTGGCGGATCCTGCAACTTGCACAGAACTCTCCCATGCGAAGTCTTCAGCACTCAAGGCTCAAGGAAGCCGGCAGCTCCTCCTCCTGCGAGCGTGATGCCTCCCGGTCGCCTGCGCCTGTGTCTGATCATCTGATCTGTTTGAGATAGTTTGTGTAGCATTGACATTTTGGGATCGACACCAAGAGATGTACCGACTGAGAGCAAAGGTTCTCTGCTTTGGCCAAAGCATCGAAGCTAAGTAGAAGGGTTCACTGAACACTCAGATTTCAAGGGAGCAGAAAGAAGGGAACACATTGGCCCAGACATGCCCGGCAGCTGTCGCAAGAAGCGCAGGCCACGCACCTCGGGCATCGTTGTCCACCGAATCCTCGACAGCAAGCATGTTTGTAATTGGCCGTCAACCAACTGCCCACGGCCAGTCCAATCTGTCCGTCCTTGCTCGCCTTGGTTGCCGGCGCAACCCATTCGGTGCCCGTGGCTCTATTCCTCGGTTGATGGTGAGAAGCTCATGCACGCTGGGCTGAACATGAGGCTGACACCTCGCCAAACACTGACCAAGTCTCAGGAGGGTAATCCATCCGTCGAAGTCGCGGAGCCTGCCCCGCCTCGGTTCAGGACCGGGGCAACTATGGCGGACATCGGCGGCCCAGCTCCCATGTCCAAGCTGGGAACACTCTCTCCTCCTTGACAAAGTCCACCACTTCCACAACTTCTACTTCCTTGGCTCTTGCCATTGAAACCAACACGCAGATTGGTGCACTTACGCTGCAAGGTGCCGTTGTGAGATTGCGTGGTCTCAACATATGAAAGCATTCCACATAGAATTCCTCAAAGTGTCTTCGCCCTCTTCAAGCTCTGCAACAAGCTCCTCGTCGTCAGGCGAGAAGTTGTCGGCATCCAGTGCCACGAATGCAGTTCGCAAGAGAACGTAGGATCCAATTTCGAAGGGCACTGGCGGATCCTGCCCGAAACCCAGATCCGATCCGCACAGGAGAAGCGGTGCTTTTTTCGTGCCAAGTGTTCAAACACGAAGACAAACAAGTGCTTCGCACGATGAGACCTATTTAACGGTAAGCCAGCAGCTCCTCCGCCTCCTCCCCTGCGCTTGATGGCTTCCGCCCGCCTGTGGCAGGGAAATCTAACCAGACATCGGAGATGAGGCAGTACAAGGCACGATCGTGCTTTGAAGTTTACAGCACATGCAGGCACAGGACTTTGTGTTTCTCTTCGCTGCCTTCTGCCTCTGCATCGATGCTCGCGGAATCCTGAAAGAACGAGAGGACTCCTACGAATTCCCAGCAGATTGCTAGCTCTCACACTCCCCCGGTCCCTGTCCTCTGGAGAAGTCCACTTCATCTCGGTGGGTCTCCTCGGCTCAAAGCCCGGCAGGGCCCTTCTGGCCCTCCCGAATTGAGAGCAGCTGAGGCGAGGCGAGGCCTTGAGCCCTAGCAAACAGCAACAGCCACACACGAACGGCGACACAGAAAGATCACAGCTGCTAGAAGAATCCCACCGCAAAGAAGTTGGCTGGGAGCGGTGGCGCAACAGTCAGAATGTGTCGCCAACATGTCCGTGGTGGGTACCCCTGCAGCGAGGGAACAGTGGGAATGTCAAGCAGGTCGTCGGTGTACCATGACGTTGAGAGTGCGGCGCCACAACGGGGATATGACCACCGTAACAACGTGCAACCATTATGCTTTTGTGGTGACCCATGTCACTGTCACCCAAAATCAGGAAACTCTAGGCTAATTGGAAAAGCGCTCGTTCCAACAAATGCCCCACCTCTCCTTATAGTGTAATTACTACTTGGGGGTTCCTTATTGTAATTATAGTATGATGGGCCCCAAAACCCTTTTCAGAGTACTCTCAACTGCCTGGTAAAACCTGACGACGCCGTCAGGGAACCACACATCGGATGAATGGGAAGCACGGAAACACGGTGCATTGCAATGGTGCGCACAGACACACACACACACACACACACACAGCGAATGGTCATGTATAGATATATCAATGTGGCGCCATAATAGCAATTGCCAAGGAACAGCAAGTGTGTCCCAGAAGCATGGAGCCACGAGATAAACGCAACTACCAATTTGAGCCAAGACGCTCATCTGCCTCCTCGACCACTCTTTGGTGCCTGCTGAAGCCCGCACCGCCCGAGATTCTAAATTCATCCCTCATGACCGGCTCACGTAACCAAGGTATCAGCTCTAGCCGGCCGCTGATCTGTCGATGCCTTGACGATTCATCGCCATCCTGGTCCTCGGAGTGGGAAGCCTCTTCTTGCTCACCTGGTTCTGAGGTGGCGGTCTTTGAAGCACCTCGGAGAGGAGCATCCGACTCAATTCCTACCAGACAAGCACGCATGCGAGTAGCACTGGTGTGCTATAATCATAGCAAGTCCGCACCTCGAAAGTCGTTGTCGGACTCCTGCCAATGGCGAAGCGCGGTATCTAAGATGGTCTGAAGACGAGTGACAACCGGATGTGGCGCTCGCGGACAAGTCAACCTTAAAACATCTGCGTGCTGGATCACAGATGTCGACACAGGGAGCCCCGATGAAGCAGATGAAGGCGCGATCAGTCGGGCATTGGGCCGGCATAACAAGCTCGCATCTAGAAATCTTGGGGAGATGGCACACCAGCCTTCAGGGCGACCCATTTGGCACCGGTCGCTCGGTTCCTTGGCACACATTCTATGGGGGTTCTGTCTAGTGACAAGCTCACAGGCGGTCTTAAGCTCGTTTGGCGTAGTCTCATGAGCGTAATCCACCCATCTGGATCATGGAGCCTGCCCCGCCTCAGTTCCGGTGCACGATGCTTGGCCAAAACGGCAGGGGCACTGTTCATAGCAGCAAAAATCAAGTGGATCCTAAGCTCGGAGCACTCGGTCGTCCTCGACAAAATCGATGACCTCTACAACCTCGACTTCCTTAGTGGAATGATATCACGTCAAGAGCATTCCAAGTTACCAGCTCAAAGTGTTTGTGATAAACCGTCCCACACCTTCTGAACACAGCACAAAGCGTCTTCACCCTCCTCCAGCTCTGCAACAAGCTCGTCGTCGTCTGGCGTAAAGTTGTCGGCATCGTACGCCACAAATGCAGACCGCACCAGGAGGTAAATGCCCGCTTCGTAGGGCTCCTCCTGCTGTCAGCTTGGCACGGCTCATAACTTATCCAATCCAGTCTGGCAGCTTGCAGCTGTCTCAAACAGCTGGGAAACGCGAAACGAATCCTTCGGATAGGGGACGATGAGGGACCCTAAGCCCTAGCGTGCCCAGCTCCTGCTCCAATTCGGATGCCTTCCGGTGACCTTGGCGGAGAGACCAAAGCTGACGTACGAGAGAAAATCGGACCCGTTTCGGCCAGGTGGCTCGAATCCTCTTCCTGGCAGGTTGCAGCAGGAGCCGTTTCGAACCGAAGTCCAGTGGCAGAAACTCTTCGAATTGAAGACAGCTGTCCTCCAAGTTCATCCTGTCGACCGGGTTCCTCAGATGAAAGTCGCAAGCAGCAAATGTGGCTCATGCTTGTGCGATGCGCCCGGCCGGCGATTCACACATCAAAAAACAGCTTGCGGCAACATCTTCTTGTCAGGAGGCGTGTCCACTTCTTCCTTCCCGTCTTGCCTGCAAAACTTGATTGTCACGTGCTGCCAAACAGAATGCCCTGACAGCGTCCTGACTGCTGCAATGCTGCAGGTGCCAGAGCCCTCACTAGCAGCTGATGCAGGAAGATACAATGTTTGGCAAATTAGATACGGGCCTGAATACTTAGTACAACTGTTCCTTCGGGCTCCTTATCATGAGTATATTATGGTATAATTAGGTATAACATGGTATCATATGATAGAAAATGATAGAATATGACAAGGTTCAGGGTTTAGGGTTTCTACAGAGCTCCCCATCTATAACTGTACTCAGCAGCTACTGGCCTGGACGGTCTGTCGCCTTCCTCTTCAGAGGACTCGTCTCTGTCGCCTGGCTTCAGCTTATCTTCGCGTGAAGGCAGGACTGGTTAGGAGTACCTGTAGGGCTTTAGGGTTCAGGGTATAGGGGTCAGGAGTACCGGAATGCCGACCATATTGTCGTATTCGATCATTTTATACCATGTTATGCCATGTTAGACCAGAATAAACCACATTCTACTACATTCTTTCGCACTATGTATATTATACCACATTATATTGACATATTTGGGTCATGATGTATTTACCAGCCTAGCAGCAAAAGCTGCGGTGGACAGAGCTCGGAGAGAGGGGCAAGAGCAGGGCAGAGAGGGCCAAGAAAAGGGAATGGCAAGGAGCAAACGATGCAGGGAATCAGGACTAGGGGTACCTCATTTTGGGGTCCTTATGATAAGGATCCTACTATTTAGGGTACTGTAGTAGGGTTCCCTAATTTCGGAAACTCCCATATCGCGACAATCGCAGCAACAAGCGGATTTCAGGCTGTAAAGAAACTGTCCCAGCACCTCGGAGGCGATGGTCTCCAGGCTCCTGACAAGAGCTAAGTGGGAGTTTTCGAAAATGGAGGACCCTAATATCGTATACTAGATAGTAGGGTCTTTATTACTGTATTAAAGGACCCCGGAATAAGGTACCCCCAATTTCGGAAACTCCCAAGTTACTTCCGGGCAATCTAGCGCCATCGCTGCAGTGCAAACTCAAGCGGAGGGTACATTATGGTACATCACAATATATTATACGACATTGTAATACATTATAGTACATTATAGTATAGTACGCTGTAATACATTATAGTGAACTATAGTATGTTATAGTACATTGTACTACGCTATAGTACATCATAGTACATTATAGTACATCATCGTATATTATAGTACATTATAGTGTATTCTAGTGGATTAGGGAATAAGCTGTTCCCCTGTGCCCACCAGCCTTCGGCATAATCCACTCCGTGCCTGTGATCCTGTTCCTCGGATGTTTGGTTCCTTCAAGGGTTCTATAAGGGTCCTATAAGGGCTCTATAAGACTATACGGGTTCCATAAGGGTTCTATAAGGGGTCTTAAGGTATCTATAGTCCCTGTCTGGTTCTGAGTAGGGAATGGGGGACTGGATTACGGGACTATTCTTGGGGATTATATAGGGACGACTAAAAGGACCCATTCCCCCATTCCCTACTAAGCACCAGACAGTTGGTCGGCAAAGGACGTCAAGCCACTGGGGGTGCTTAGATGCCACGACAAAGTCTGCCAATGTCGTCCAAGTCTCAGGAGGGTAATCCAACCACCTGGCTCGAGGATTCTGCCACGCCTGGGTCAAGAGAATGCCCACCTTCTTGCAAGTTTCAAGTTCCGAATTTCGGATAGCATCGTGGCGATTGGGAGAAAGCGCAACAACGAAATCCGGAGTACCGGATTTGGGATTCGGACAGAGCGGCTCACGGACGTGGGAATCTGCAGAGATGCTGTAGGGGAAACACAGATGGCAGACTTCCAGGCAGCCATGGGGTATGACACTTTGCCAATGATCGTGCTTCGTGCTCCGGAAACTTGACGGCAACCGATGAAGCATCGGCACAGGATGCCCAGTCTCCGGGCTTGCATGACTAAGCTCAATGCACTCTGTCCTCCTCGACAAAGTCGACCACCTCTACGACTTCGACTTCCTTGGCTCTTGCTGTAGAAGATCTCTAACACCCACCCGGGAAAGGCATCTTTGTTGGCAAGCTTTGTTGCGGTATCAAGTTGTTAATCAATGCGCAAAGAGTCTTCACCCTCCTCCACCCTTGCAACCAGCTCGTCATCATCGGGCGCGAAGTTGTCGGCATCGGGTGCCACATACGCGGCACGTACGAGAATGTAGACTCCCTTTTTATACGGCGCTGTAGGATCCTGCCAAGTTCTCATCTTCAGGCTGATGCATTTCATGCCCTGAAGCACCAACAAACAGCCCGCGAAACTTGTACATCTTTATATATATGTATGTATGTGTATGTGTATATATATATATATACACACCTGTATATATGTATTGTATATACGGGACGACGAAGTGTCTGTTTTACAAAGTATACAATTTTTAGTATAGCGTAATATACATGTGTACTATCTATTGTACAACATATTGTGTCGAATATTTGCTGTCAAACCCTTGTCCCTGCCTTAAACTACCAAACCCTACAAAAAGTAGGTTCTTATTATAAACCCTAATATGGAATTTGTAGGGACCCTACACAATTTGTAGGTTTTGGTAGGTTAAGGTGGCTCCTGCTCTGAAACTGATGCCTCCGACTTGCCCTCCGACACCTGGCCGCCCTCCTGGGACACGTGGTCACCTTAGCGGCAGGAAGGCGGCGTTAAGTTCAGGGGTTTATGACTTAGAGTTTAGGGGTTTAAGGTTTAGGGGTTCAGGGTTTGGGGCTTAAGGTTTAGGGGTTTAGGGGTCTAGGGTTTAGGGCTTATGGTTAAGGCCTGTCTGGGATCTGGTAGGCTGTGAGAAGAATCGAAAATCGGCCCACCAGAAGCATTAAGCAAGACATCAATCTAAGTTGAGCCGAAAAGCTTGCGCCCCTGTCCTCAGAAAAGGCAGGTTGCAGCATCGTGAGCTTTGCACACACGCCAAGACTAGTTCGAGGAGAGGTCTTGCAGCATTGACTGGACTAGCTGAGAGACTGAGAGAACACAGCAATTCTGATCCGAGCTTCCGAATAAACGGCGATCCAGTTTGCGCCCGTGGCCGAGTTCCTCAGATCAATACGTAAGGCAAGCCAAAACCAAGCACTAGAAGCGTGGAGTATCGGCTTCCGTCACGATGCTACAGCTGGAAGGTCGATGCTAACAGATCCAGGCATCCGCAAAGTGATCCAACCTTCCGGAGACTTCAGCTTCCCACGCCTCACATGCTGATCCATGATGCAAAGGACCACCGAAGGTGGGCAACATCTTCTGGCTGAGCCAGCCACACCCGTCCCTCTTCGGGAAAGCCAACGATCTCCACAAGCTCGATCTCCTTCGATGTTGGGGTTTTCCGATAATTAAGGGATAGCTTGATTTGGGGTCTTTCTCATAAGGATCCTTCTGTTCAGGGTACGATATTCCCACGTGCATGCGACAGATTGCGACAACGTGCTTGCCAGCTTGCCGCTAAAGAATGATTAGTGTGGCTGCACCCGGGACGGAGCTCGTGCTGTGGCGCGGCATGTTATTTACTCAGGATCCGTGCGGCCGCGTCCCCCGGAAAGCTACGTCCACTGTAAATTCCAATACATTGGCCACGTCTTGGCTTTTGGGCCGTCCCCCTGGATCCCACCAGGAAATAGGGGGCAAGCATCAGCGCAGAAGGCCTGAATCCCGCCTGTTGTGAAGTGGCGCCCGTGAATCCGGTCATGAGGCAGTTTGGCCGTCGTGCGCTGGTGGTCTCCCGTCGGTCTCCTTGTGGTCTGAGGGGTCTCCTGGTTTGGTCGTCTCTGGCTTTCGTTGGGTGGTCGTGGTCGTCCTGGTCGTTTTGGTGCTCCGGTCCTGGTCCAAGTGGTCATCCTTGTCGTCGTGGTCTTGGTATATGTCTTCGTGGTCGTGGTGCTCGATCTAGGCAAGCATGATTAACTTTCTTGTGCTCATCTATTATCTGCTAAAGCGCAAGTCAGGGCACCTCGCCCTCCTCCAGCTCTGCAATCAGCTCGTCATCATCAGGCTCGAAGATGTCAGCACTGGGTGCCACGAAGGCAGGAAGGCGAAGAACATGAACTCCGAGGTCGAAAGAAGCACTGAGGAATGACCTTGGCGGAGCAGTCATGAGCGACAAACATCAGCCAGACGTACCCCATACCCGAAGTGTCCGGCTGCGTGCCTAGCTTACACATGTATAAGAAATATTCTCAAAGCAGCAAAAATCTCTCCCCAAGACTGCGTCCCCGGCTTAGCATCGGCATCCTCTTCACCTGTTTCAAAGGCGCAGACCGGACGGCTGTTCTCTCAGTGCTGCCGGGCTTTTTCATGCGCGCAGCCAGCCCACTTGCTAACAGAAAACCACAGAAGGGGAGGGAGAGGGAGTGTGAGTGTGAGTGTGAGTGTGCGTGTGCATGTGGGTGTGGGTGTGGGTGTGAGTGTGAGTGTGAGTGTGAGTGTGTGTGTGTGTGTGTGTGTGTCTGTGTGTGTGTGTGTGTGTGTGTCTGTGAGTGTGTGTGTCTGTGTGTGTGTGTGTGTGTGTGTGTCTGTGTCTGTGTGTGTGTGTGCGTCTGTGTGTGTCTGTGTGTGTGTGTGTGTGTGTGTCTGTGTGTGTGTGTGTGTGTCTGTGTGTGTGTGTGTGTCTGTGTGTGTGTGTGTGTGTGTGTGTCTGTGTGTGTGTGTGTGTGTGTGTTGTGTGTGTGTGTGTGTGTGGTGTGTGTGTGTGTGTGTGTGTTGTGTGTGTGTGTGTGTGTGTGTGTGTTGTGTGTGTGTGTGTGTGTGTGTGTGTGTGTGTGTGTGTGTGTGTGTGTGTGTGTGTGTGTGTGTGTGTGTGTGTGTGTGTGTGTGTGTGTGTGTGTGTGTGTGTGTGTGTGTGTGTGTGTGTGTGTGTGTGTTGTGTGTGTGTGTGGTGTGTGTGTGTGTGTGTGTGTGTGTGTGTGTGTGTGTGTGTGTGTGTGTGTGTGTGTGTGTGTGTGTGTGTGTGTGTGTGTGTGTGTGTGTGTGTGTGTGTGTGTGTGTGTGTGTGTGTGTGTGTGTGTGTGTGTGTGTGTGTGTGTGTGTGTGTGTGTGTGTGTGTGTGTGTGTGTGTGTGTGTGTGTGTGTGTGTGTGTGTGTGTGTGTGTGTGTGTGTGTGTGTGTGTGTGTGTGTGTGTGTGTGTGTGTGTGTGTGTGTGAACCTCCCTAGCACATGGGAGCAGAGGGTCACTCCTTCACGATTGCAGGGGGACACAGCATGTCGCTGGGACTGTGTCCAACGAAGCTACCAGTGACATGGGAGGAGAGGACTGATCATCCTCTTGTACCTGCAAGCTGGGCCCCCTGAGGCAGCAAGATTAGAAAACGCTGGCCCCCTGAGGCAGCAAGATAAGAAAAAGCTGGCCCCCTGAGGCAGCAAGATTAGATAACAACATACAACATACTCTCCTCTTCTTGCTCTCTTGGCCGAATCCAGCTGTGTGATCAGCGTGGGTCGTTGAGACTCCAGAGCAACGGCTTTCCGTCATGGCGCCGTGGTGACCCTCCGGGGAGACCGGTGATGAACCGGGTGTTCAGCCTTCGTTCAGATCGTTCAGATTCTCCCGATGCTACTTTATCTCTCTCTCTCTGATGCTCGCATGTGCGTCTGACATGAGTGCAGGTGCAGTAATGGACGGCTAATGCTGTAAAGTGCGTCTAGTGAGCAGGTGCTACCTCGCTAGTCTGTCCTCTATTCGACCGCTTCTTTATTCCTCAGGGACTGCAAGGGCATGTGCAACTGACATGAGGGCAGACGCGGTAACAGTGTCTACTGCAAGTGAAACAGCGCTCTCTTCGGAGAGTAATCGGCCTCTCGCTTCTCTCTCCCCCTAACCCCACACCTTAAGTTGAGGACCACGCAGGACGTGGTACCTCTCATTCCATTGCTCCTGGGTGCTTTTCTGCACAGCTGGAGGATGGTCCACCGCTCTTGGGTGTCTTTTGCTACACAGCTGGAGGGTGGAATACCCTAATACCCTAATCCTGCTACTGGCCTTGGACCCTGCTCGGGTAGCTGGGCAGTAGTCACTCCGTTCCTGGGTCTTTGGTGACAGCTGGAAGGAGTGTCCTCACCCTAATCTCCCCCCCTAATTACAACATACAAACACATGTGCAATACATTGGTCAGAAGCTGCTAGCCCTTGACCCCTTCGAGGGTAGCTGGGTAGCAGTCTTTCCTTCAACCCTCCTTACTGTTGCCTTTGGGGGCCGTCGCGCCCAGCTGAGGAACAGTCCCCGGCTGGATCTGGGCCCTTGCAAGGGCAGCTGATCAGCCTTCCTTCCCCTCTGTCGCTTCTGGGGGCTTGCGTGCCCAGCTGAAGGACAGTCCTGAACCCCAACTTTAACGCCTCACTACATCTTGGACTACCACAACATTCCGGACCACATCGACAAGATTTGCAAGCGGGCATTGCAGCCCACAGGGTTTTGTGGTTTAGTTTTGGTTCGTTTAGGTCTTGGAGCCCTGGCGTGGCTTTATTTCACTGCCCACAGCCGCCCCAAGGTGGTGGGGCTGTGTGTGTGTGAACCTCCCTAGCACATGGGAGCAGAGGGTCACTCCTTCACGATTGCAGGGGGACACAGCATGTCGCTGGGACTGTGTCCAACGAAGCTACCAGTGACATGGGAGGAGAGGACTGATCATCCTCTTGTACCTGCAAGCTGGGCCCCCTGAGGCAGCAAGATTAGAAAACGCTGGCCCCCTGAGGCAGCAAGATAAGAAAAAAGCTGGCCCCCTGAGGCAGCAAGATTAGATAACAACATACAACATACTCTCCTCTTCTTGCTCTCTTGGCCGAATCCAGCTGTGTGTCTGTGTGTGTCTGTGTGTGTCTGTGTGTGTCTGTGTGTGTCTGTGTGTGTCTGTGTGTGTCTGTGTGTGTCTGTGTGTGTCTGTGTGTGTCTGTGTCTGTGTGTGTGTCTGTGTGTGTGTGTCTGTGTGTCTGTGTGTGTCTGTGTGTGTGTGTGTCTGTGTGTGTCTGTGTGTGTCTGTGTGTGTCTGTGTCTGTGTGTCTGTGTCTGTGTGTGTCTGTGTGTGTGTCTGTGTGTGTGTGTGTCTGTGTGTGTCTGTGTGTGTCTGTGCGTGTCTGTGTGTGTCTGTGTGTGTCTGTGTGTGTCTGTGTGTGTGTGTCTGTGTGTGTGTATGTGTACACATAATATACATAACACAACATAACACCCCATAACACAGCATAGCATAGCATATATCATAGCACAACATAACATAACATAGTTAACATGCACACATAAGTACATACACGTATATTAAATACTTTAGGGTTTTTTATGGCCTTTAGGGTTTAGGGTTGCAGGCAAAAGCGTCATTGCATTCGGCCTCTGTCCGCATGGGACTCACCCTCCGCCACTTCTGGCCTCGGCAGAGCATTATATTGCATTAATCTAAAGGCTAGAGGCTTCCTTTAAAGGGTTCCTTAAAGAGTCTATAACGGATTTCGTTATAATAATCGGGTTCTATATTAGGGGCCATAATCATTACCTGTACTAGGTTGGTGGTTCTTGGTTATAGTTATGGTACATTACACCCCAAAACCCTATATTCTGATTATGAACGCCCCTGACTTGTGCGTCCCCAGGCGGGTCAACGTTGCACCCAGATCCGAGGCCAGAGCGGGAGCGCTTCAGGCGCCGCAGCCTCCGTTGAGGCCTCTGCCTCTCCACGAGTTAGGCTATTTTTTCTTTTATTGTAGCGCCTTATTCCGCCTAGCAGGGTTTAGGGTTTAGGATTTTTTGGGGAGCGCCCGGGTTTAGGGTTTAGGGCATCTGGGGGGAAAGGCCTTCCCGATCCCTTCTGCGGCAGAGGCCTCCTCCAGCATGCCAGGCCTGAAACACATGAATGCAGCTTGGCCAACCGTTCTTGATCATGGGACCTAGTAACTAAGGTTATTTTAGGGTAACTATACTTATAACTTATAACCTTACTTACTAAGTCCCATGATCCTCCAAGTTGGCCAACGGTCCAACGGCCAGTGATCCCAGCTCTTAAGATGCTCCGAGCTGCTCAGGCTCCTCACCGTCGGGCCGATCTTCGTCACCTTCCCACTAGAAGTTCACAGGTGCTTGTGAGCGACGTTGGCGAGTGCAGTTCAGATCCAGATCTGAACAGGATCAACACCGACAGGGCGAGCCCAGACAGAAGAGGCCAGCAGAGAAAGTCATGAAGCGACGTGCAGAGGTACCCAATTCGGTTGATAGATTCCTCGCGCGGGACTCTGTTCTGGGATGACATTCGCTGGTATCCACGCCATGCCTCATTCGTGGATTCACTTACAAAGCCAGCTCCGACTGCACTTCTCAGCTGGGACACGTGATCACACCCAAACATATCATCAGATGGAAACAGGTGTTCTTCTTCCTCGTACGTTTCGACACCCCAGCAGGACAACAGTGGGCCACTCTCTGTCAATATGCCATGCCTGGCGAACACAAGTGGAGTGCTCGAGCGACGAGAGGTGAAGGACATCACCGTAAAGCCATGTTCCCTGAAAACCGAAAAATCACGAACTGCGCGAATGTGGCAAGGATACGTGGTGCAAAGCATCATTATCATCATGCAGGACGTCGAATCTCTCCGTTCATGATGTGGCTGCAAGCTTCTTTCAAAAGATACTTGTCTCAGAACTCTCACGCTGACCCACTGTAGCATTTGCTGTGGCGGTCATCCGCTCTGCGACAAACTCACGGGTTGCAGACAAGAGGCCCTCCAGATCCTGCGATACCAGGCACGGGATGCGCGACTACATGCAATCTGCATCTCTTGCGTAGCTACCCTGTGGCAGGATGGTGCACACAATCAGAAGTGCATGTCAGAATTATGAACATTTGCTGCTGAAAGTGTGGTGGCATCATGTACGACCAGTGCCAGTGCTCCACATGGAAGGTATGCAAAGATGCAATGTATCTCTCCTGGGCGGTCTGAACCAGGGGTTGGAACACTTCACGTGGTCCATCTGTTCCATCATGCCGGAGCGTATGGTACTGCACCTGCATGACAACAGTTTGTCAATCCTAAAAGGTCTCCGCTCATCCAAGAACCTGTCGGGCATCGATGGCTACAGGTAACATTCGAAAGTCAAGCATGGATGTCAGACAAACCAGACAAGACTCAAAGCAGTAACAAGGTCGAATTTTTAACAGATGGAGAAAACTTTCCAGAAATCTCCCCTGCCGTGCCTGAGATTTGGGCTTCATTCTCTTCATAGGAGTCATTTCAGCCTGGCAGCCAGCAAGAACCGTTTGCGCAAGACTCGCGTGCCTTCTTCAGCCTATGCGCTCGGAATTTGCCTCTATGCAAACGACAGGATCGCACCTGGCCTCAGAGCGGCTGCGGCTGCTGGGGGTTACGATGCCGGCGTAGTATTCGGAGGGCTTCTCCTTTTTCGGCTTTACCTGGCTGCAAGCATGTTGAAACAGGTCTTTCAAGTGACAGAAGCGCCAAACCAGCTGCTTCAATGCAGCAGATGGTCTGTGAACACGCGCTGGTGACGAAGTCTACATGCATCTCTGTGGAGAGCAGCCAAAACAGAATCCATAGTCCGTAGTATATTAAAGTATATTGTAGTACATCACAATAAAGTATAGTATATTCTACTAGACTATACTGTATTACCATGTATTATCGCATACTGTAGTAGGTTCTTCTATCTCTTCGTATGTCATAGTATTTCCTGGCCTCTGATGTCGCAGCTTCGCTGGATGCAGGCACTTCGCTCGTCGGAGAGATCGGCTCTGACTGGATTTCAATCGTGGGCAGCGGCAATACGACAGCCTCCTGCAAGCGGTTTGTTTTTTTGTGGAGGGCCCTTTTCCTCCTTGCTACAGTCGAATACCTAGTAGGTAAAGCCGGGATGAGGACAATGAGGCTCTTCAAGAGAATAGCAAGCGGTTTAGGGTTTAGGGTCACTCGACATCTCGGCAACCATAACCTACCATAACCTACTATAATATACTGGAACATACTCTAATATACTATCGTAATAACAATATACGATGATATACTACAATCTACTGTCAACCCTAACCCCAGGAAGCTAAGCCAAAAAAACAGACGTTAAAAACTGCAAACCCTGCAACACAAAACACTAAACCCCCACTTGCACAAACGAAGTTTCGGGTCTAGGGCTCGGGAGATACACCCAACCCTAAACCCTGAACCGTAAACCCTAAACCCTTAACACCGAAGTAATGAGACGGCCTTCGCAGGTGGCGTCTCCTCTTCAGCCAGGACCTGGGAATGGAGCAGAATACGAGAAGGTCTCAGCCTGCATAGCCCTGTCTAAGCCATATGAAGTCGGAAACCCCGCAAAACCCGTTTAATGCCGACAAAGCCCACCTAGAAGCCTAACAAGTCTATACGTACTACACTCTGGAGTTCCTTCAAAGCCCAACGGATATAGTAGTGTATTCTAGTAAACTATAGTACGATACATGATACTATAGTACATTTTCGTAGTACATTGTAGTAACGTAGTACATTATAGTACATTATAGTAGATTATCGTATATCATAGTAGATGAGGGAAGACCGGCCTCTGGCGGCTCTTGGGAGCCATTCTCCTCCGGCTCGGGGACCGCCTCGGCACGTGAACGCGTGGGCGGTAAAGGGGTTTCTTGGCTTTGGTGCTCCTCGAAGGGATCCTTACAGGGATCTATAGGGTTCCTTAAAGGGATCTATAGGGTTTAGGGCTTAGGGTCTACTTGGAGGCCCATGGGTAGTTCTAAGTGGGATTATAAGTCCCACAATATGGGTTGAAACTGTAGTTGAATTATTAGGTCTAGGGTTTCTGATTTCATTGGGTCCAGGGTTTCTGATTTTATTGGGTCTAGGGTTTCTGACTTTATTGGGTCTCGGGTTTCTGATTTAAAGCTTGGGGGGGAAGTCCGCCGTGCCTCCGAACCAGGCTCCAAATCCTCCAACAAAGGAGGCGCTGTGGGCGAAAGAGCGTCATCTTCCTCCTCGCACAGCGGCAAAAAGGGCAGGATCGATCCCTGCTAGTTCGCTGGATGCCGGCGTACATGCCTTCCCTAAAGCTCCAAGCCGAGCCGTGTTGCAGCTTTCTCTGCTACAAGCTTTCTTGTCACAGGATCTGCAGAGTGGAGGAGTCAGGGAGTCGTAAGTTGCAGACGCTCCCACAGTGTCACAATATATCCCTTATAGTACCCTTATAGATCCCTTATAGTACCCTTATAGATCCCTGATAGTACCCTTATAGATCCCTTGTAGTAACCATTATAGACCCTTTTAAAGGAACCCCAGAAAACTCCCACAGGCCTCATCCCCTTCCTCAAAGCGGGAGGCTGAAGGCGACGCCAGGAAGAGCGACACCTGCTCTGCATTCTGCATTTGCCCATCACAAAAAGCCCTCCTTACGGGCCTTTACTAATTAGAATAGGGTTCCCTTTCAAGGGTTACTATGAGGGGTTTATAGGGGGTACTATAATATAGGGGCCTTAATAATTAGAATAGGGTTGTGCCGCGTGCCTGTTGGTTACCAAGCAGGGCATTGATCTGGTCTGGCGCCACCTCCAGCACTTTGTCCACTCGCACCTCGGTCTGGAAAGGACGGGACCCTCGGAGCATGCCAGTGCAGGCACGCAAAAGCGGGATCCAGGGCGGCGGCGAGCGATCCCTCCTTGACTTGGTCAAGATCTGGATCCTGCGGGCACAGGGCCAAAGCAAGGAAGCAGTCGCTTCGAGAGGCCGCAGACTCCGCAGACGAATGCCCCTCTGGCGCCTCGCCGTCCACCACGGCACCTTTGGCCTCAGCAGCTCACACACACACTTGACACATCGTGTCGCAGGTCTCGAATCACACTCTCAAAGTCAGAAGAGTCAGCTTCTTGAAGTTATTAGAATTGTAAAAACATTGCACGGCTTAAAGGATCGAGGACGTCACAAGCTGCAGGTACGTCGACTTGGCGTCCCAAGTCGATTTCACAGGAAAGCAGAAAGGTCTTCGTTGGTGCCAGCCTTCTGCAATCCCCTGGCACCCCCTGCCTACTTCTCTCCCTTCGAAACAGGGTTGGACACACACAAGCCCGACCGGGCTCATTGCAGGAGCTTGCACATCACTTGCACGTCACTTGCACATCCCTTGCACATCCCTCGCACGTCACTTGCACGTCCCTTGCACATCCTTTGCTGCTTTTTCACTGAATTTCATGGGAGAGTCTTATGCTCAAAAAACCTAGGAGAGTGGGCTGCGAAACCTCAGGAAGCGCAGTCTATGCACTAAGTGCAATTCAACTTCTGCTTCTTCCGCATCAGCATCGAAGTACATGCAACACTGAGTTGCAGTTTGGTACGCAACGCTGGCCAGTGACACAATACTCACTCGCAAACGCTCCTGTACTAGGTCTACGACAGCTCTCATCCACCTTTTTGACGGGCTGCTCAACATGGTGCATGCCGCGGCATTGATTTGTGCAAAACGGATGGTGGTATGCAAAGACTGAAAGCCCATGGTCCACTCAACCGAAGAGGACAGTCGAAACTCCTGTATCCCACGTCGCAGAAAGGTGTACGCCACCATGGTGTCGGTTATGGGTTGTGCCTCTTCTGGGTCATCATTTGGATCGAGACGGGTAATGAATGTGATTCTGGTTCTGATCGGCAACACGTACATCAAGATGTTGTCGAGCACGTCAGAAGCAGCCCAATCCATGATGTTCGGGGTCTACACAATTTTCCGAGTGCTTGAAGCAAAACTCATGCACACCCTTGCATATCACTTGCAATCCGCTTGCACATCACTTGCAATCCGTTTGCACATCCCTTGCTCGTCACTGCTCTTGAATTGACACAGAGGTGGGCTCTTTTTATACCGTAACGACGAAATCGACTGGTTCGAGGGTTTGAGCAGTCGTAACAGGTTCTGTAAACCGAAGATGACGAAAGTTTTGTACAAGCTGGAAGGTGTGCAACCTAGGCCACCAGCCGAACTTCTCCCAGAGCTGCATCGCGACAAGGTATTTGGCAACGTTGATGGAATCGTTGATTGATAACTGGATGTGGAGAATAATAGTCTCGTGTCCGGTTGCCCGACTGCATACACGAACCCACATCCGAAAATTGTAGTCGCGGCTCGTACTCCAAGGCAAATTGGCTTCGCGAGCCTTGCGCTTCATGTTGGACAACCTACACAATTTCACTGGATGTCAAATGCTGCAACTCAAGACGGCTCATGCAGAAACCTGAAGATGCACAGCACCGCACACGCGCACTCTTTAGTTTCTTTTACCTTAAGCAGGAGCTTGCACATCACTTGCACGTCACTTGCACATCCCTTGCACATCCCTTGCACGTCACTTGCACGTCCCTTGCACATCCCTTGCAACACCCTTGCAATGACACTGGCACACAAACGCTTGTTTGCAACTGCTCACGTTTCACTCTGAGACTTCAATTTCTGCTGGAAGTGTTGGGGGCAACTCTGTTGTTTCTTGTAGTTGAAGAGAATTAACGCAATGAGTAGTCACAGATTGAAGAGAATGCAAATCCGTCAGCAAGTTCTCCACCACTTCGTTGGTCTTCTGAAGTTTCTGAAACAGTTCTGTGGTGGCGGACATGACTTCCGCCACCTGAGCCTCAGTGTCCCTGATTTGTGTGGTGAGCACGTCGAGTTGGGCTTGTTGGATCTTCTGGACAGACAATGCTTCTTCGCGAAAATGACGGAATTCACCTCTGATTGTGATCAGCTCCTGTTGTGTGTAGGAAATCCAGCGTTGAAGAGGTGCCAACGGATCGCACGCGGAGTTGCTCGACATTAGCGCAATGGAACGAGACTTGAGCAGGGTGCTGCAACACTGTTCTGGTGTGTACCACAACACGAATGAACGAGTACTCTCAGCACTGGCGTCCACTGCACAATCTTTCCTCACTTCAGCACTCGCATGCGTTACAGATACAAGTGAAATCCTGTCACATCGGGCATACTCAGCTAAGATCAGACGATTGACTGCGTCGCGATCGGCGTGATACACGTCTTCTGGTAGGCATAGGTTTGGATCTAATCGGAGTACCTGACGCAGCTGAAGATGAAGGTGCGGCCGACGACGAAGCAGCACTGGACACCAAAGGAGGTTCAGACACACGATGCTCCAAGCTTGCTATTGGTACCGGGGGTGGAAAGACAGGAGCACTGGCACTGGGCGGGGGGAAAAAGGGAGGGGGAAGAGGGGGAGGGAGGGGAGGAGGGGGAAGAGGGGGAGGGCCAGGGGGAGGTAGGGGGCGAGGTGCAGAACTGGAAGAAGGGTTGTCGCTCCCTGCACTCGGTGTACTCCTCGTTGTTGGCAGAGAGGATGGAGGTGCATAGGGGTGGGATCTGGACGAACGTGATCCTGAAGCTCCGCTACTGCTAGGACGTTCTTCACGCAGGTTTGCTCTATCCCTCTCATCCAAGCGACGCAACTCTTGCTGCAGCATTCTTTCTGTCCCGTCACGCACAAAAGCTGTCAACTGAAGTACAAGAGCTTGACGAAGTTGAGGTCGTGATACAAAGTTGAGCAATCTCACACGCGCTGAATGAGTGAGCGCTCTCAGGAACTCATCGATGTTAGGGTCCGAAGGTGGCACCGTCGGCATGCTTGCTTACACAGATGATCTCGTCTCTTGGCCGAAAACACTGCGATGTGCACATCACTTGCACGTCACTTGCACATCCCTTGCACATCCCTTGCACGTCACTTGCACGTCCCTTGCACATCCCTTGCAACACCCTTGCAGTGACACTGGCACACAGACGCAACTGCTCACGTTTCACTCTGCTTGAACGAAGAACGCGTACTCCAGGACACGGGGGCACAACTCTTGCACTGGTAGTTTTTCAGCAAGTGACATGTAATCCTGTACACTTCCGGTGTCCAAATCAAAATAAGACTCAAACGTTTCGGTTGGGACACTGTGCACCATACCAAAAATGGCAAGCACAGCGGAGGTTAGCTCGGACCAGCATTTTT